TAATTGACCGGACACATAGCGGGTTTCTTCATCACTCTTGGCTGCATTTGCAGACTCTTCAGAATTCATGAACTTATTCATAAGCACGTATATTAGTCCACAAAGCCTCCCGTACCAAGTACCAAGTCTACCTCATGAAGAAATTATGTTGCCGTGGTTGAAAAGAAAATAGCAAGTAATTCCATGTTCACTGGCATAGCTTTACCTTTGATTTCATCTTCGGTAATACAACCAGGGTGCAGAATTACTGCTGCTTGAATGTCTTCAGTGCCTGCTAATTTCACTAGCACCATTCCTGAAAAGAATAGGCAAGCTCTTTTTAACAACTTGAAAGAACTTTTCTGCAAGTGAACAGAACTAATTTTTCAGTGGTGAATGTAGAACAAATTTCCCATTAATTAACCCAATAACCTCCTCAGAACTGTGAAAATGAATACAGAAAATTTTACCTCCCCAACAAAATCCTGCAACCCCAATGGCAGACATGCCTTTACTTTTAAGTGCGGCAATCACTGGCTTGGCATCTTCATACCCTTTATCCTAAAGAAGTAAATGAGGTGAAAGTTTACGAAAAGACAACTAAGAAACCGGTGACATGAAAATTCATGAGGCTCTCATTCTACTGATACTGCATCATGTTTCGCATCTGGAATTTGGTAAAATACAGACCTAGATGGGTGTCGAAAATCTTTGAAATGACCAGCAATCTCCAACCAGGTCTAGCTATTAATGCAACCTACTGCATGTGATATGAGTCTAGGAATCAAGTTTGCAATTTGGAAATCCCTTGTTTCCTCTGAACTTCTAAATGTGCTTTAATATTTTCACGGCCTGAAGGAGTGGAAAACTCACCGGGCTATGAGTTTTCAACCAAGCTTCTATACTAAAATTAGGATTACTGGGATCAACAACGGGATCTCCGTAATAGAAATCGGGTACAACCACCAAGAATCCTGCGGATGCAACCTTATCTGCGAGTTTCCTTTACAACGAAAGCGGTCAACTAATAAGTATGACAATTTGAAAAGGTGACTCGTCATTTTCAATCTTGTGAACACAGAACGCGATGACTGTTAACAAGGCGATCCCAGCTTATGTGATGTTGCAGTTGAAACTAAGGCTAACTTTAACTCAAGATGAAACAGCATTATATAAACAGCTGAGCCGTATAAGAAGCAGAGTTTATTGGAACAAAGGGTGGGTTAATACCACAAAAGAACCCCCAAATTATGCCCACTGTGACATAAATACCCCGAACTTTTTTTTTGTGTCACTAAAAACCTTAAACTTGCCCATTGTGACACGAATACCCCACTTCATTTTGTATCATAAAAAATCCCGAACTTACACATGTACGACAAATGTACCCTGGATGGAACTGAAATAGAAGATATATATATGTCACACCTGTACAAGTTTGGATATTTCGTGACACAAAAAAAAAAGGTTGGGGGTATTTGTGAAAAAAAGTTTGGGGTTCTTGTGTCACCATAGGCATAGTTTGAAGTATTTTGTGGTATTTGCCCTTAGAACATATAAAACTGTAATTTAAGTTGAATCAAGCAATGTATATCAAAGGTCAGTTGAACCATGCCATGAAATCACGCGTATCTGCATTTCTATAGACGACGTTTCAACTCGGAAGAGAAAAACACGAAACACACTCATCCAGAATGAATTGGCCTCACCCTTATGTGCTATCTAATGCTCGTCAGCATCACAGGTGAAAGGTGAACGGAAAGGTAAAGCTTTCAAATTATGCTACCGGGAGAATACAGAGTTATTCGCTTGCAAACCTTAAGTTTCTATGCAAGTAATCACACCATACCTCAGCTTAGGAGCCTCATACCCTGCACAAACAGATGAGCAAAGGATCCATCAAGCAGCAATTTCATGGATCAATCGAAAAGCACGAGAACGACCAGGAACCAAGAAGAAGTCCACAATCAACCGAAAGAAAGACCCATAAGAGAAACAATACGGAATCAAGAATCAAAGAAAATGGGCGTCTACCAAAAGCATCAGCGATGAAAAGAAGAGCACGCTTGGCATCGGAAGGGCCAGTGACGTAAGTTTTGAGACCTGCAAGCTCTTCAACACGTCCTGCTCCACAGGTCGAGCTCAGGTCCGGTGGGTTCTCGAAGCAATGAGAGCTCAACATTTTTCTTTTCTTTCACCAAGAAACCTGGTGAATGTTGGACACACCAAGAGTGAGGAATGAGACAATTTGTGAATGGAACATGGAAAAAAGAGCAGAGTTTTACAGGAGAAGTGAAAGTTTGCGGCCTCATTACGTGTGTCGCTAGGACACTGAAAATTCCAAGAGTGGCGGCTTTGACGAAAGGTTTGATGGTATTTTCCAAAGATTTTCTCCGATGAAGAGTGAAGACCAATATGCCAACGCCAGAGCGTCACCTAATCTTAATTCATAGGGCCCAGCAAGCCATCCGCAAAAGACCAGAGACCCTTTCCCAAGTTCGAAACTTGGAATTAGCAAGACGAAGAAACGAAACACACCATCTCCAAGAGATCAGATTTTGCAGTGCATGAGCATCTCACGTAAATTTTTTTGATAGAAACAAGAAGGGCATCTCCATTTACGACGGATTGAGGTAATCTGATGCGCACTTAGCTAGTCCAGGTCGATAGTTATGACAAACTTGGATGTGATGACATTCCATTGAACACGATGAACACAAGCATACAGGGCTTGGGGATGAGACCAAGTAGGTGCAGAAAATACATGCAGTAAGATTACAAGTACACAAAAGTCGGGGTCATGTCGACGGTCTCTTCACATTAGAGGCTCGTGTTGAAGGTCGTTGCATGATTTCGAGCTCATTTGGGGCACCTCACAAAGGGCTCAAGTATATCAAGCCCTGATTGGTTTGTATTAAGATGACATGGTCGACGGTAATGATTTGACATCTACAACAAAACCAATGCTCCAACCATTCGCTGGAAAGCATTTTGGGCAGCGGTATTCATGTGTCTAACATAGAATGTGGACATGAGAAGGAAAGAATTCTCGATTTATCGAGAAATTTTTAGGTACTTTCGAAGCATGACGTTTCAGTCTGCCTAAGTAAATCACCACGTGGGAAAACACTATCATCAATCTCCAAAGAAAATAAGAAAGTCCATAACACTCTCCATACTATGATTGATTCGGACAAATGAGTACGTCGTATCTTAAAAGTAATTAATAAATTTTCCGAGCTAGTTACTCGCATCATGCGAGACAGAAAATTGTCTTGCGACATTGAAATCGATCGTTGTGGTGCTACCATTCATTTTTAAATGAATTAGCAGAGCTCGAGAAAGTTTATGAGATTGCTCTCAAAGGATGCGACGAAGAGAAGATATCAGCTGCTACCATTCTTTGTGGTGCGTCCTTACTTCGAGGTTGGAATATACAGGTGTGCAGTTATAAAAAGATGCATTTCTTTAGTACCATGATTACTAAAATAGAATGTACTGTTTTCCTTTTTCATATTGTATTATTATCTCATTTGTTCTGCTTTACTAAGCTCACCATATCACGATTCAATCTGCGCAGGAGCACACTGTGTGTTTCATTACTAGACTGCTTTCTCCTCCAGTACCAGCTGATTATGAAGGCGATGAGAGTCATTTGATAAAATATGCTCCAATGCTGAATGTGCTTGTCGTTGGAATAGGATCGTTGGAATAGGCCTGCAAGCTCTTCAACACGTCCTTCTCCACAAGTTGAGCTCAGGTTTGGTGGGTTCTCAAAACACTGAGAGCTCGACATCTTCCTTTCTTCCCCAGATATCTGGTGAACGTGGGACGCACTAGGAGTGAGGAATCACTGAGACCATGTGACAAATTTGTGAAGGCAATATGTGAAAAGAACAGATATTTTATAGGAAAAGATGGAGGCTCGCGGCGTCATTCAACACGTCACTCGAACAATGTTCAGTCTTTCACGTTGCGACTTTGAAGATAAAGTTGCGTCATTGACTTGACTCGATAGGAAGGCGTTCCCCATTATTCAATAACTACTAAGAAGTGACGCAAGGTATGATGGTCTTTTAAAAGATTATCTCCAATGCATCACTTGAGACTTACTTGCATCGATCACAGCATAACTACTCACGACAGATTGAGGTAAATTGATGTGCACTTACCTAGTCTAGGTCGACAGATATGACAAACTTGGATATAGTGACATTCTATTGAACAGGATAGAGCACGAGCATACATGACTTGGGGATGAGACCAAGTAGGTCCATAAAATACATGTAGTAATATAACAAATATACGAAATTTGAAGTCACGTTGACAGTCTCTTCGCATTATAGGCTCATATCGAAGGTATTTGCACGATTTCGAGCTCATTAGAGGCATCCCACAAAGAGCTCAAGTATTAAGATGACATGGTCGACAGTGGTGACTATCATTATCTAGAGCAAGATCAACCCTCCAACTATTCGCTAGAAAGCGTGACAGGTAAAGTTATTCATGTTTCTAGCATAGACTGCAGACAGAAAACAAACGAAACCTCCACCTATGGAGAAATTTTTAGGTGCTCTCGAAGCATAACGTTTTGATTCACTTGAGTCAATCACCACAAGGAAAAAAGCACTATCATATATCGTGAAAGAAAAAAAAGGTTCATAACACTTGCCACGCTACAATTGATTGGGATAAATGAGTACGTAATGTCTTGAAAGTAACTATGAAATTTTCCAAACTAGTTATCAGCATCACGTGAAGCATAAAATTGTCTTTTGACATTGAATTCGATCGTTGCTGTAGCTTTGGAGCTTCAGGATTATTTGTCGCCGGATAATTCAATATGATCCTATCCACTGAATCAGACCGCTTAAGAAAGTTCGTCAAAACACAGCGAGGAAAAAAGAAAGTCCGCGGACTCCATTTTTGTATTTAGAAAATTGAACTTTCTCTGTTCCGCAGAAATACTTTTCTCTAAATAAACGAATACGCTATCTGATATTCCCCTTGTGGTCCTCATCTAGATGAAAGAGCACACCTCCAATCAATTTGAACAGAGAATTCAACCAAAATGGCACGATACAACTCGACATGACATACTTCATTCTCAATCTGCAAAGTTTGAGCTACGAAACCGATATCTTATTTATTAAAGTCGTAACAGCACAGTATAGATGACTAGTCCAAAACAGATGACTAGTCCTGAAATTATTTATAACTCACAATGCAGTCATCTGCTGCTTCCCTCACTATATTCTGCTTCAATGCCTTCTTTTCACTTGACATGCTTCAAGAACCAATTCAACAGGTCCTCTTGGGCCTCTTCGGCACTCTTGATGGCAGACTCGTCGTCGTCATTGTACCTCACACTCCATCCATGCCTAACACCAGGGAATATTTTGACGTAACTCTCGAACTGCAAAACCAAGGTCTTTGAATTAGTGATGCATAGAAATAACCGTAGAGAAGAAGTGCTTTGTGAGCGAACTGACGGGAATGTGGAAAAACGGTAGGATTGTCTGACATTTTTTTTGCAACAAATGCTCGAAACACCCTAAAATGCTTACTTCGGTTTTAGCCGACATGATCTCCCTGAACTTTATCAGTTCTTCTGCGGGGAAAATGTGGTCATTCTCGGCTCCCAATATAGCAGTTGGAATCTTGACGGCTGAACAAAGAATAGACAAAAATAAGATCTTTGCGGCTTCCAGTTTAAGGAACACTTCTCAAGCAGACAAATGTTGTGTGATCGATTTCTTGTAATTGACCGGACACATAGCGGGTTTCTTCATCACTCTTAGCTGCATTTGCAGACTCTTCAGAATTCATGAACTTATTCATAAGCACGTCATATTAGTCCACAAAGCCTCCCGTACCAAGTACCAAGTCTACCTCATGAAGAAATTATGTTGCCGTGGTTGAAAAGAAAATAGCAAGTAATTCCATGTTCACTGGCATAGCTTTACCTTTGATTTCATCTTCGGTAATACAACCAGGGTGCAGAATTACTGCTGCTTGAATGTCTTCAGTGCCTGCTAATTTCACTAGCACCATTCCTGAAAAGAATAGGCAAGCTCTTTTTAACAACTTGAAAGAACTTTTCTGCAAGTGAACAGAACTAATTTTTCAGTGGTGAATGTAGAACAAATTTCCCATTAATTAACCCAATAACCTCCTCAGAACTGTGAAAATGAATACAGAAAATTTTACCTCCCCAACAAAATCCTGCAACCCCAATGGCAGACATGCCTTTACTTTTAAGAGCGGCAATCACTGGCTTGGCATCTTCATACCCTTTATCCTAAAGAAGTAAATGAGGTGAAAGTTTACGAAAAGACAACTAAGAAACCGGTGACATGAAAATTCATGAGGCTCTCATTCTACTGATACTGCATCATGTTTCGCATCTGGAATTTGGTAAAATACAGACCTAGATGGGTGTCGAAAATCTTTGAAATGACCAGCAATCTCCAACCAGGTCTAGCTATTAATGCAACCTACTGCATGTGATATGAGTCTAGGAATCAAGTTTGCAATTTGGAAATCCATTGTTTCCTCTGAACTTCTAAATGTGCTTTAATATTTTCACGGCCTGAAGGAGTGGAAAACTCACCGGGCTATGAGTTTTCAACCAAGCTTCTATACTAAAATTAGGATTACTGGGATCAACAACGGGATCTCCGTAATAGAAATCGGGTACAAGCACCAAGAATCCTGCGGATGCAACCTTATCTGCGAGTTTCCTTTACAACGAAAGCGGTCAACTAATAAGTATGACAATTTGAAAAGGTAACTCGTCATTTTCAATCTTGTGAACACAGAACGCGACGACTGTTAACAAGGCGATCCCAGCTTATGTGATGTTGCAGTTGAAACTAAGGCTAACTTTAACTCAAGATGAAACAGCATTATACAAACAGCTGAGCCGTATAAGAAGCAGAGTTTATTGGAACAAAGGGTGGGTTAATACCACAAAAGAACCTCCAAATTATGCCCACTGTGACATAATTAAATACCCCGAACTTTTTTTTTGTGTCACTAAAAACCTTAAACTTGCCCATTGTGACACGAACACCCCACTTCATTTTGTATCATAAAAAATCCCGAACTTACACATGTACGACAAATGTACCCTGGATGGAACTGAAATAGAAGATATATATATGTCACACCTGTACAAGTTTGGATATTTCGTGACACAAAAAAAAAAGGTTGGGGGTATTTGTGAAAAAAAGTTTGGGGTTCTTGTGTCACCGTAGGCATAGTTTGAAGTATTTTGTGGTATTTGCCCTTAGAACATATAAAACTGTAATTTAAGTTGAATCAAGCAATGTATATCAAAGGTCAGTTGAACCATGCCATGAAATCACGCGTATCTGCATTTCTATAGACGACGTTTCCACTCGGAAGAGAAAAACACGAAACACACTCATCCAGAATGAATTGGCCTCACCCTTATGTGCTATCTAATGCTCGTCAGCATCACAGGTGAAAGGTGAACGGAAAGGTAAAGCTTTCAAATTATGCTACAGGGAGAATACAGAGTTATTCGCTTGCAAACCTTAAGTTTCTATGCAAGTAATCACACCATACCTCAGCTTAGGAGCCTCATACCCTGCACAAACAGATGAGCAAAGGATCCATCAAGCAGCAATTTCATGGATCAATCGAAAAGCACGAGAACGACCAAGAACCAAGAAGAAGTCCACAATCAACCGAAAGAAAGACCCATAAGAGAAACAATACGGAATCAAGAATCAAAGAAAATGGGCGTCTACCAAAAGCATCAGCGATGAAAAGAAGAGCACGCTTGGCATCGGAAGGGCCAGTGACGTAAGTTTTGAGGCCTGCAAGCTCTTCAACACGTCCTGCTCCACAGGTCGAGCTCAGGTCCGGTGGGTTCTCGAAGCAATGAGAGCTCAACATTTTTCTTTCACCAAGAAACCTGGTGAATGTTGGACACACCAAGAGTGAGGAATGAGACAATTTGTGAATGGAACGTGGAAAAAAGAGCAGAGTTTTACAGGAGAAGTGAAAGTTTGCAGCCTCATTACGTGTGTCGCTAGGACACTGAAAATTCCAAGAGAGTGGCGGCTTTGACGAAAGGTTTGATGGTATTTTCCAAAGATTTTCTCCGATGAAGAGTGAAGACCAATATGCCAACGCCAGAGCGTCACCTAATCTCAATTCATAGGGCCCAGCAAGCCATCTGCAAAAGACCAGAGACCCTTTCCCAAGTTCGAAACTTGGAATTAGCAAGACGAAGAAACAAAACACACCATCTCCAAGAGATCAGATTTTGCAATGCATGAGCATCTCACGTAAATTTTTCTGATAGAAACAAGAAGGGCATCTCCATTTACGACGGATTGAGGTAATCTGATGCGCACTTAGCTAGTCCAGGTCGTTAGTTATGACAAACTTGGATGTGATGACATTCCATTGAACACGATGAACACAAGCATACGGGGCTTGGGGATGAGACCAAGTATGTCCACAAAATACATGCAGTAAGATTACATATATACAAAAATCAGAGTCACTTTGACGACCTCGTCGCATTACAGGCTCGTGTCGAAGGTCTTTCCGTAGTTTCAAGCTCGTCTAGGGCACCTTGCAAAGGGCTTAAATATAGCAAGCCTTGACCGGTTTGTATTAAGACGATATGGTCGACGGTGATGATTAGACATCGACAACAAGATCGACACTCCAACCATTAGCTGGAAAGCATTTTGGGCAGCAGTGTTTGTGTGTCTAACATAGAATGTAAACAGGAGAAGGAATGAAATGTCAATCTACCAAGAAATTTTTAGGTGCTCTCGAAGCATGACGTTTCGGTCTACCCAAATGAATCATCACGTGGGAAAACACCATCATCAATCTTGAAAGAAAATAAGGAAGTCCATGACACTCGCCATACTATGATTGATTCGGACAAATGAGTACGTCGTATCTTAAAAGTAATTAATAAATTTTCCGAGCTAGTTACTCGCATCATGCGAGACAGAAAATTGTCTTGCGACATTGAAATCGATCGTTGATGTAGTTTTGGAGAGCACCTAGAAAGTGATTAATAAGGCCCATCAGACACCCCCATGGGCCTGTCTAGGCTGGATCTATCACAACCATTAGCTTGTGTTTATAAATCTTGAACTTAACATGAAGATCCGTCGGGCGGCCTTTGGGTATGTTACGTTGACTTAATAGAACAAAAATCTTAAAACAGACTTAATTTACATATATATATAAAAACGATTCCAGGCCATAGTGGTTTGGTTTACATAAGGAAAAAGCCCTCATAAATCTTAACCATAAATCTCAAACTATACCCAGTGTGACACATTTAAGTTCTATTGATGAGGACTATTAAACCAAAAGTAAAAACCAACTTATAGGGGTCTCATACCAAAAGTTATAATTGATAGTAGAAGGTGGTCCCGAAACTTATATTTAATACAGAACATGTGGGACTCTCACTCCACCGGCGCATCTGATACTAACTTACGAGAGTCTCATACCAAAAGCTATAGCTGATAGTAAAGGGGGTTCCCGAAACTTATATTCAAGTCTAGAACGCCCTGCCTAGGCGATGTGGGACTCTTGCTCTAATGTGGGATAAAAACGACGTTATTTTGGCTGAAAAATTATCTCATGGATTCTTGACGGAGGGTAAATGTGTTGCATAAGTATAAGTTTAGGATTTTTTATGTTGCAAGAAAAAGTTTAGGGTTTTTGATATTACAAAAAAAAAAGTTCATGATGAACGTATCACGGTAAGTATAGTTTAGGGTTTTTGCGACTTTTTCCCTGGATATGGTAATTTTCACTAAAGTTCGAAGCATAAACACACATAGTTGATAAATACCATACGATAAAAACAAATGAATTCTTGTGGGTATTACATGATTCGGAGCATGGGAGGCCCACCATTGGAGTACGTGAATTGTTAATTTGCGTTTATTAGTACGAAATTCATCAAATCAAGGTAGCAACTTTGTTTATAGAGATGTCCTCTTGTTCTCTGTGTTTGGCTCGACCCCATTGATTCTTTGCCCTTCTTTTTCCCCTTATTTAACTCCTTGCGAAGAAGACACATTATACTCTGTCGACATCCCGGTAAGGAATCGTGGCGAACGATCATTGGTGGATGCATCGACTCACTTTAATCCCACTACTAAAAGACGTAACTCGCGCCTAAAACATCATTTTCGATACGAATATACCCTTTTCCCCGAACCCAATTAGACTCGATTTCTTGGAGGGGGTAATGTCCTCTTGATAATGATCAAGATAATTGCTTTGTTTCAATTAGGCCCTCCTGGCTCGATTCTGCTCAAGCGGGAGCTGTTCGAGATGGGGATGGTTGAGCTTGATTTCTGAGCCTAAAGTTGCTGACATTGGGCAGTCCGTAACTTGTGATGGGTGCAATCATGTTGCTTGAGTGCACAAGTGGTGCAAATCTTATCTATTCCCGGTTAGTGGTTGTCGCAATCAATTTTAGTCACTTTTTTATCTCTTGGTTGTATGTAATAATGGTGAGTTTATAATTGGGTTTTCTCGAGGTGGAGTCTGCATTTTCACCTTTCTGTCTTGCACTTTGTGTGTTATCCTTTCCTTCCGGCTCCAAGATTCGTCTCCATTTATTTCTCGAAATATAAATAATTTAAAAAATTTTGAAAAAAAATTATTTATATCACTTATAAAAATAAATAAATACAAATTATTTTCATGATCTACGAAAATATGTAAATATAAATTATTATTGATAATAATAATATTTTTCATTGACTTATTATTTTAAGTGAGATAATCAATTACTTTTTAAGCGGAGCCGTCTAGTCAAACATTATAATTGGGAGATTGCTTATTAATATGCCACTACAAATCCATCTCCTACTAAGATATTATTGGTGGTCAGCTTTTATTTTCCCTAAACGATTTTTAGCTTCATTTGAAAAGCCGATTAAAAGAAATATATTCTGAAAATTAACAACTTCGAAAACTCCAATCTTTGGAAAACATTTTTCAGCAATTTCCAAGAGACAAATGGCCCCATCGTTTTGCTTTGCTCTTTTGTTTGGAAGTTTGTTTAGCCATTTACTAACCAGTCACAATGTACTACTATGCTTGGATCTTTCTTTCAAATCCAAGATTAATCGCCGGCTGTTTGAGTCCGACACGCAAATGCAATTTGATAAATGGACTAATCCAATTCCAGCCTTGATCGACTAATATAGTTTATGCCTGGGTTTGATAGACTTTAATGCCAAGGCCGGTTCCTAGATAATCTCAATCAATCAATTCGGACTAATCTAGGTTTTTGTCATTAATGTTATTCTAACGATTGTGGCACAGGTGTACTAATTTCATGTCCAAGTTCAGAAATGTGGAAGTTGCCGGATTGGAGACAAAGCAGTTGTCCCCGTCATGATGTTAACATGTGCATGTTGTTACCCCGACGAGGGGGAGAAAAGCATCGGCTAATTCACCATAGGCCAATAATAAGTACCTAAACAGAAAAGCATAGAGCTTATGCTTTCATGCATCGGATTACCTTTAAGCTCCGTTTGTTTCAAGAAAAAATGAATTATTTAAAAAATATTTTTCTAAATAAAGATCGCTTGTTTCGCTTGTAAAAGGGAAAGGACGAAAAATATTTTCATTTCCACAAAAATACTAAAAATATTTTCATGTCCACGAAAATATGTTTTTCTAATATTTTTGTGGACATGAAAATATTTTCCGTTCACTAATTATTTTAGCATTATAAGCAATTGTTTTTAAAAAATATTTTCTAAAATATTCATTTTCCGCGAAACAAATGGAGCTTAAATGAGAAGTAACAAGAGGTGTATTAATTAGGGTCAATACCACGAAAAACCTCAAAGCTGTATACTGTAACAAATTAACCCAAAACTAATTTTTGACTATCAAAAATCCTAAATCGGTACACTTGTGACAAAATTGCCTCAAACTAATTTTTTGACCACAAAAAGCCTTAAATCGGTACACATGTGACAAATATACCCTATGTGAAATAAAATTAATACCACGAAAAATCACAAATTAATATACCTGTGACAAATAGAGGGGTAAAACCCTAAACTGGTATACCCATCAAATGTCACGTGTCATCCAACTTAGTAATTTGACGGTAAAATTTAATGAAAACTAGCGGAGGGTAAATTTGTCACAGATGTACTAATTTGGGGTTTTTTGTGGTAAAAAAATTAGTAAATTTATCACAGGTGTATCAGTTTGAAATTTTGTATGATATTAAACCTATTAATTATAGCTAATCTTTTTCTTATTTAATACAGGAGTAGTTTGGGAATAGGTTTGTTTTATAATAATTTTTTTTCGTTGTCCTTTAAAGATAACCTCAACTTTTTATATGTGCCGTACGCGTGCTTAATAATCATTATGCTTATTTTAATTTGAACTTTGTAACTTAACATGTTTTGTAATTTAATAAATTTTATCATCTAGTTAATTCTATCGTTAAAAAATAATAAGAGAATGACGATAAAGAGCAAAAATGATATGAAGATTATTCTATGTAATCGCCAAAGGTGTGGGGGTCAATTGGTTAAAGATATAGTGCTTTTTCATGCGACTTTACTTTCTTGTGATCAATTATAAGGGTAGGAGAAAATGGGTAGTTGTACGAGGAACCGATCGACAGTGGGAAGTTATTAGAAATGTTATTTATATCTTTTTTTTGTCCTTTTAATATTTCATTTATGGATGATTTAGGAAAGCCGCTAAAAATGAGACGCAAGCCGCTATTCGACTTAATTATGTAGATATACGATTGATCGTACTTTGCATTGTCAAAGTTCCAACGTTCCTTCAATGTTGGTTCATTTTCTTCAATCCCCAAGCAAGGGACTTGGATAAATTGAGGCTATGTTGTTAAACCCAAGATAACGATTTACAAAGTATGAGCGTGATAAACTGCGATCCTTACAAAATAAGGTGCAAACAATCCCATGTTCACGTACCCTTGATCTTCATATTAGGGCGTAGCTCTGTCACGTCCGCCGATCCGCCATTCACAAATGATGTAAGTACCCATTTTCGAAACGGCAATGGTCAAGAGTACGATTAAATAGCACTTTAGTACGCCTATGGTCCATACTAGAATATGTCAACATGGAGGCAATTTGGGCATGGAATTTGAGGCATATGGGGAGGACCCCAAGTGGTGCTAGGGGCGTTGACTCTTCACTATCCAAGAGCAGTCAACCCTAAATGATTGCACATGCTAGTGCCAATTTGTGCAGGACGCTCTTTGATTCTTTTGGCAAATTGATTTCCTGCCCCTGCCGGCCTATGTCTGGATGAGATCATAGGCGGGGTTAACCCAAAGGTGAATGAACCATCTTACCAACTCCTCCTTATCATGCCTAATTATTCTTCTATCAGACACCTACCCAATGGCAATGAATGCTTTGCTTTTTAGCCAAAAAATGAGGAGACAACAAATAATATTATATTTAGGAAAGTAGAATTAGCGAAGCCATGGGATTGGATCGCTCTAGCGATAGTAGCTAAGCTTTCTTGTTGGAAATTGGTGGGTCGGTAGAGAAATTTTCTTAACTTGCAACCGATTCGGCTGAGACAGTAACCCTTGTTTTCTTCGCAGCACATGCATATTTACATTTGATTTAATGTACGTGCTTTCGTAGAGAGTCATCCGATGTTCGGGTCAGTTTTCGCGCGCCCCCGAACCCGAGACCGTGAGAAGAGGAGGAGCGAGACTTACCTTGCCACAGAGAAAAAGCATGTGTAATCATATTGAATTTGATAAGACGAGGAAGAGATGGATCTAATTCAATTAATTTTTTCCATAAAATTTTTTACGATTTATATTGTTTTTTTAAATTTCTGCTCATGTGAGAGATTGAGGGGTTGAACTATAATTTTTTGGGATATGTTCACTAAAAGTCCTGAAATTTATCATAAAAGTGTAATTGAGTTCTAAAACTTGTAAAAAGTGCAATCAAATTCTAAAATTTGTCAAATTGGTACAATCGAGTTCTTCCGTTAACTCCGTCCAACTTGGATAACAAAAAATGTTAACATGGCTTTTTAAAATATTTTATCTCTCTTACATGACGATGACATGCTAAAACGACATTACTTTGGTCCAAATTTGATTTTTTAAACACATTTTATTTAAATTAAATAAAAAATAAGCTAAATTAAAAAAAGAAGAAGAGAAAGTCGGAAACCAGCAGCGAGGGTTTGTTGCAAATCCTCGTCGCCGCCCCACCACCAAAGCGATGGTGGGGGAATGGTCGGCGGGCCCCGGCCAGGGGTCGGCGAGGGTCGCCAGTCCTCTCCCAAATCTGGGCAAGGGTCACCGACCCTCGATCGCCGCCAATGGCGCCCCTCGGCCATAATTGGGCGAGAGGATATGAGATTTTGTAAATTTTAAACTCAATTGTAATTTTATGATAAATTTTAAGGTTGTTGGTGAGCATATTCCTAATTTTTTCCTTGAAACCGGGACATCGAGATGACGTGTGTCCCATCCCACGTTCGTTTTTTGTCCATGGACTGATCGAGTGATGAACTCGATGACCCATGCCAACAGATCCATCTCCCCAGTGCTCACCTACCACTCACTATACCCATCTTCAAGAAGCCACAAACAGCAAAAGTAGAAACCCAAAAAAAAAAAAAAACAAATTAAAAAAAAAAGCTCCATTGAAGAGGTTGGTGATGACAGAGTGACTTCTCTTTCTTATTTATATTATTTTTCTTTGTTTCATATATATATATATATCACAGATAATATATCTTTTTTTTTTCAGGCCCAAAAGTGATGCATGCCAATGTCATCACCGGCTTGGAGTCGGACCAACCTTGATCGAGACATCACATCCTGTCATCATCTCCACCAACCCCTAACCACTGAGTTTTTTCTGCCCCCACTTCAAAAAAAAAAAAACACAAACTCCATCCAGTAAAAAATTTGGGAAATTAATTGGAAAATCTGGGAAATTTAATGGAAAATTTTGGGGAATTTCATGTAGACTTGAGGGACACTCAATCTTAACTTTTTTTTAATCAAGATTAAATAATTATTAATTGGATTTAGCGAAGTAGTCGACCTACTAGAGTGAAGATTAGTGATTTCTGGCGGGGGACATGGCCTTATAGGTGCAATATGTTCTTTTTTTTTTTTCTCTCTTTCCACGCTTTATGGTCGAGTCCCGAGGACGAGTAATGCCCGCCTCGAATCGCATGGTTTCCCCTCTTCACATTAAATTGATTAAAAAAAACAAATAAAATAAAATAAATAGAATAGGGAAAATGGACAAGAAATGTGGTACGACTTTCGGTTTATTGTGCATAATCTATGTTAGCTTTTGATAATTCCCAAATGGTCTAATCATCGGTGGTTGGTTGGTAATTTTCTAATGAATTTTATCCGTAATCCTCTCGTGATGTGAAATTATCGTATGCTTCGATGGGGTCCCGGACATGATTAAATAATTCCTAAATCAACGCAATTTACTTTCGATTTTCCCCATTATTTTTTTTTCAATTGAAATGCTAAAGCGAGTTGGACACCTTCCCTTGACATTTTGGAATGGACATTCTGTAATTTCGTATCTTATTTGCTTCTTCGTTATGCATAAGCAAAACAGATGATGCGAAAATTAGTGAAAACTCGCTTCATTAATCACATGAATCATCGTAGCTCCGTCTGTTTCGCGGAAAACAGAATGATTTAGAAAATATTTTTCTAAAATTGATTGCTTCTTGAAATGATTATTCGATGAAAAATGTTTCCATTATCGATAGTAATTTATATCTAAATATTTTCGTGGACAACGGAAAAAAATTTCGCTCATTCGTTTTTGTAAGTATTATAAACTATCGTCATTCTTCTTCCGCAAAATAAAACGAAGTCCTAGGTGTGGCAAACGGAAGTTCTTTAATTTTCTACATTAATATGCGCATGTAATGTTTACCCCCATGTCAAAATATGTGAAAACTCGGACATGTTTTTTTTTCTCGGGTTAATACCACAAAAAACTCAAAACTGATATACTTGTGACAAATTTACTCTACATTAGTTTTCGTTAAATTAGATTGTCAAATTGCTGAGTTAAATAACACATCGCAGTTGACAAATGTACTAGTTTTTGGGTTTTACCCTCCGTTTGTCACAGGTGTACTAGTTTGTTATTTTTTTATATTAATCCAATTTAATAGAGGGTAAATTTATCACAAATATACCAGTTTATAATTTTTTGTGGTCAAAAATTAATTTATAGTAAATTTGTCACGGATATACTGGTTTGGATCCTTTCTATCTCCCACTTTTTAAGAAACCTTTTTATTTTTCACCGATCTATCGTTTCGATGACAACAATCTCGCCGCCCGCTACTTCTCAAATCAACATATATTCCGAAGAGTTTTCCCTTTTTATTGGGGCTTACGCAGCGACTATTGTGGAACGTTGTTGGTGCTAATTAGTTATTTATAGTACAACCTGAAGATTAATGTCTGTAATTTTTTTAAATCCCACTCCTGCCCCTCATCTCTGCTTGACTTTGTCCTTGTGGGAGCCAATTATATTTTCTATCTCCCACAAAATATATAGTAAATAAATAAATAAATAGCATTTCCCAAATACAAAACGAAAAAAACCACCCCTCCAAAAACTAGAGCCAAGAAGAAGAAGAAGAAGCACCGGCAGCAGCAGCACCACCACCACCAGGTCCACCACCACCTGGTTGGCTTCGTTAACCAGCTCGCTCACGCACCCACGTCGTGTCGGGGAAAGGAATCGGAGGCTTCCGGCGATCTGGCTCCGGCGCATGGCGGCCTCCGTCCACGGCGGCATTCTTGACATGACGAGGGTGGCTCAGGAGAAGGGCAGTGATCCCCTGTGGTGGGCGATGCAGATGTGCTCCAGCTTGAACTCGGCCGGCGCGAGCTTGCCTTCGACCGAGCTGGCGCACGCGCTGGTCTCTCACATTTGCTGGGACAACAACGTCCCCATCACGTGGAAGTTCCTCGAGAAGGCTCTGGCGGTCGGGATTGTGCCTCCTCTCCTCGTGATTGCTCTGCTCTCTACCAGGTTGGTGTTTCTTGTTTCTTGTTTTCTCCTTCTTTCTTGTTTTTTTTTTTGGGTTCTTTTGGTTTGTTTCTCCTCTTACTTTCTTTCGTCGATGTTTGAGATGGTTTTTGCATCGTTTTTCGGAGTTTTGGTTAATGTTGAGTAATCTGGTGACTTTCCTTGTAATGGGTTCCGGTCAATGAAGCCTGAAGGGGTTTTTTCTTCCCTTTCTTCTTTCGTCTCTCTCTCTTTTTTGTCTGAGAAAAGTGGGTATTGATTCATTCTTTTGTTTACTGTTGAATCTGATTAAAGTTGATGCTGTTGAGGATTTTTAGTGAGGTCTTTTGGCATTGCCTGAGTCACTCTCCTTCAGGGGATTCTGTTGGTCGAAGTTTACAAAATTTTGTTTGGAATAGCGGAAAGAAGAAAAGAGGGTATTGTCCGATCCTAAAGAGTTTTGCTTTCACCAAGTGGAAAAAGGTTGATCATCGCATTAACTTCTAACAATTGAACTTACTGAATTCTTTGACTCTGTTGGGATAGAGCGTGCACTTGATTTTTTGAGTGGATTTTGAGTAGTCCTTTCATTGAAAATTTCCCCGGACTGATTTCCGTTGACCTTTTTCTTTTTCCGCAATTTGTTTGGCAAAATGATTTCAAGATGCAAATGTTGATATCTCCCGATATTTTTGGTCTAATCATGGTTTGGACTTAATAAAGGATGAAGGGTTTTTTCCAAGAAATTTCAGTTTTCTTCTCATTTCAGTAAGTTAATTGGAACATTTTACCATTTTGTTTCCGGTTATTGAGAACGTGGAAAACAAGTGGGCATGCCAAATGCATTTTCGCATATTAGCTGGTAAAGTCTATTGGTGACGGTGCAAAGTATGGTTGGATCCCTCCTCTGTCTTATATTGGGCTGGTTTAGGATAGAGAAGGGCTTCCATATATTGCACGGCCACCAATTAGACCAAGAAAACATCATTCGACTGAGTTGTGTGCTTTTCCGGAGGCAATTACGGTGGCAGTTTCTCTACAAAAATGAATTGCTAGGAAATCTATGCAGTTTCGTATCCGTGCATTTGTTTCTTTCAATTTTCAAACGGCCTACTTTATTGTCTTCTATGCAGGGTCATTCCATGTAGGCAGTTCAGACCAGCCCCATACAGACTTTACATGGAACTGCTCAAGAGACATGCTTTTAACCTTAAATCCCATATAGATGGGTCAAACTATCAAAAGTGAGGAGCTTATCTTTTGCTTAATTCTTTTAGACATCACATTGGTTGCAATCCTCTTGCTCGCAGATCAATGCTGTATAACAGACTTCTTTCCACCTACATATTTGATTCCTGCACCTGCAATGTGGCAACCTTCTTTTTTATTCAGATGGCTCGGAAAATCATAATCATTGAAACCTTTTAACTTAAGATGCTAGCCAATGTTTGTTGTCTGTTTCAAAAGTTTTATGATGCCCAACGAAATCGGTTATAATTCATCTTGGCCTTTCATTGGAGTTCAATCACTCATCTGTTCCTACAAGAGCCAAAATCAACTATTGAATATAATAATTTACTGCATATAATTCTATGACCCACATACAATGCAGATAGTTTCAGTTTCTGGTAATTGTCTTGTTATAAATGGAAATTCTTTCCATTTGCAGGGTTATGGAATCAATTGATGCTGCTATGCAGCTTTCCAAGATATTTGGTTTGCCAGAAAGTGAAGCTGGGATTCTTGTGGTTGAGTTCATCTTTTCTATTGTGTGGCAGTTACTTGATGCATCTTTAGATGATGAAGGATTGTTGGAACTCACTCCAGAAGCGAATTCCAGATGGGGCATCAAGTCTCAAGAAATGGATATAGACAGTTATGGTAGTTTTGATGAGAAGTCTACTGAAAGTCATGGGATATTGCAGAATGCAAATACTACAATGGCAATTGAAATAATTGGACAGTTTCTGCAAAACAAAGTAACCTCCAGAATATTATACTTGGCACGCCAGAACTTGTATGTACTTCTTTTAGCTACTCTTATTTCTATCATCTGTATGATTTTTTGCATCGGTTCTCCAATGAATTTTACCCTGTCAATATACATCTTGGAAGCTTTCAATCCAATTTTTTTGGGGCACCTCCTGAGTGGAGGCTTGGATGCTGCTATTTGGCTTCACAGTTATTGTTCATTTGGTAATCGCTGTCTGTGTTAGAACTTGGTATTTCCCATGGCCGCCTCAGGAAAGTTACCTATAGAAGATTTGACTGTCATGTCTCATCTATAAATTGGTTCGTGATCAGTCATATAATTTCTTGGTCACAATAGCATGGCATGCCTTGACTGAAGATAACTTGCTAAACTGATTTCAGGCCTGTGCACTGGGAATCTTTCATTCAGAGATTACGGTTGCTCGTTACAGACTCAGCAGCACTAAGGAATTCAAAAAGCCTGACTCCTGAGGCACTTCAGCTGTTGACTTCAGATGCTTGCGTAGTCTTTTCTCGAGAATGCAGGACAAGTTCAAATCAGAAGTTCCATGCTATTATGGCATTTGGCTCCCGTGCTTCTTCCGCCCATTGTTCTGACCTGTGGCTCCCTCTTGATGTGGCTTTGGAAGATGCCATGGATGGATATGATGTTAATCCAACAAGTGCCATTGAAATAATCACTGGTAATGGCCCAACTTTTTCTTTACTTCCGGAAAACAGTTTCAGCTGTATCTAGTAACATCAGAGTACTTAAGAGATGTTAGTGGCAATAAAAGTATAGGGTTTATGCAGGTTTGACAAAATCTCTTCAAGCAATAAATGGAACTACCTGGCATGACACCTTTTTGGGTCTCTGGATTGCAGCTCTTCGCCTTGTTCAAAGGGTTAGCTTCTCTTTGTCCCCTCGGTATTGAATGGTTTCAACTTTTATCTTTATCATTGCTTGCTTGTAGATTTTCCAGTGCCGAATATGTCACCTTTCGAAGCCATCCAGCCTTACCTTATTTTCTTTTTAAGCTTGGAAGACAGTGCTTAAATTTTCTTCAACTAGTATTTTTCTAGCTGAGTATTTTTCTGAAATGATCAGGATCCCTAATATAACAAGAAACTGAAGTGAGGTTAAACTTTAGCTGCCAATCTTAGAGTTGATTATCATTAATCTAAATCTATTTACTGGAACTGCAGAAGGTTCAATACTCTGTTGCAGTTGTCTGGTCTCTCTGCAATACTATCATAAAACAGGGTTAAAGTTTAAACTATCAGCTCTCAGTTGAGCGATTAGCGTAACGAGAAAATTAAAATGAAGATCAAATAGACCTAAAATGTTGTTTATCCTGTATGTTGGCGAGCTTTGAATGTGGTTATATGTTGCTATTATTTTGAACTTATTCTTCGTTATTTAACAGGAGAGGAATCCTATAGAGGGCCCCATGCCTCATTTAGATACCCGCTTGTCCATGTTATTCTCTATCATACCTCTAGTGATTGCTGATCTTATTGAGGATGAGAGCCTAGCATCTGATGATATAGAATGCGCTGGCAATGATCACTGGAAGGAAAAAAAGTGTCCTGGAGATCGCCGTGATGACCTGGTCTCAAGCCTAAGGATATTGGGTGATTATCAAGGCCTGCTGACTCCACCTCACACTGTTGTTTCTGCGGCTAATCAGGCTGCTGCAAAAGCAATGCTGTTTCTTTCAGGGATTAATGTGGGGAGTGCATATTTTGAGTGCACGAGTGTCAAAGACATGCCATTAAACTGCTGTACGTAGTTCATTGTTCAGTTTCTTGACCTTTTGATAAGCTGCTCAATATTGTATGTCAAGAACAAAAAGCTTTTCTTAGGTTATGGTCATCACAAGGACAGTGGTTCCAGATTTTTCGTTTTGGTAGTTAAGGCTTGTGGTGTTGGTAGGGTATTTGTTTTATGCATTCTGGAAAAGAAAACAAAGGCTAAAAGATTCTTATTGACTTTTTATTAAATACTTACCAAAAGAGAAAAGGAATACTATTATACAGAGGCTCGAGTGTTGTTCAGCCATATGCCAACTTCTTAGATTGGGTTTTGATAATTTGTATGGCTGTAGTGTAGATAGACAGCTGAGAAAGGGGGAAGCCTAATGCTTGAAGACGCTCTTTAATCTGATAGACACTGTCTTGTGGTGTGGTTGATAGATCTTTAACTCATAGACATGCATTGTGCCAGTAGAACGGAGAGCAGGAAAAGATTTACTTGAGGCACAGAGTTATAAACTATTTCTGCAGCGAAGCAAAGTTGTACTGTAGTCTGGCATTACCTTTGATTTTGATTGATACCTTTGTCAGTTTGTGGACTTTATCATGTGCATTTTGACATGTGCTTATATTTATTTTCCCTGCGTCTTATTGTTGAGAGTTCTATTCTGTCATTTGTCTCTACCATTTTAAATTAGCGGTGCATGCTCATCTGATTGATGTATGTTTATATGCAGCTGGAAACATGCGCCACCTGATAATTGAGGCTTGTATTGCCAGAAATCTACTAGATACATCAGCATATTTCTGGCCAGGCTATGTCAATGGACACATCAGCCCAATGCCTCATACCATTCCTGCTCAACTGCCAAGCTGGTCTTCGTTCATGAAGGGGGCTCCGCTGACTCCCGCATTGATGGGTGCTTTGGTTTCAAGTCCAGCATCGAGGTACATATGCACATCCTCTGAAGATAATACCTGCTGATTGTGCCCTGACCCTTTTCATGTTGATCTCGACGAACAATTTTTTCTTCACCTTGGCCTGATTACAATCAACCTTTTCTAAGGTTGGCCTCTGGCCATGACATCGAAAGCTGAAATGGGCATGTCATTGGTTTGATGTGTCTTCTGATTAAGACGTGGTTAGACTTATGTATCGTCATCGAGTCACTTTGGCCAACCTATATTTCTCAAGATGTGGTTCCAGCCAACTAGCTTATGATAAGACAGCTGTTCGATATTCTTTGCCTGAGCCAATGGAGTATTCCTTGATAATGGATAGTCCAACATATTGGCCTCATTGCGTGATTATCTAGTGCCTTTCATACTTTTAGTGCTGTCTACTCTTCTGTCCATTCTTGCATATTCATATTCCTTTTCTAGTAACTTAAGCAAGGGCAAAGCACTGAATTTGGCTCATGGTTTTAATGGAAGTTTAGCAGAGCTCGAGAAAGTTTATGAGATTGCTCTCAAAGGATGCGACGAAGAGAAGATATCAGCTGCTACCATTCTTTGTGGTGCGTCCTTACTTCGAGGTTGGAATATACAGGTGTGCAGTTATAAAAAGATGCATTTCTTTAGTACCATGATTACTAAAATAGAATGTACTGTTTTCCTTTTTCATATTGTATTATTATCTCATTTGTTCTGCTTTACTAAGCTCACCATATCACGATTCAATCTGCGCAGGAGCACACTGTGTGTTTTATTACTAGACTGCTTTCTCCTCCAGTACCAGCTGATTATGAAGGCGATGAGAGTCATTTGATAAAATATGCTCCCATGCTGAATGTGCTTGTCGTTGGAATAGGATCTGTTGATAGTGTTCAGATTTTCTCCTTGCACGGTTTGGTAAGCTTTGGTTACTTGACTTGATGCCCTCCATCTATATAAGTGAAGCAAGTAGCTGCTTTTCTTGATTGTATCGTCTTATGGAGTGATTACACCTTGTAGTGGTTGATTGTCTGCTCATTTCTTCTGCTAGTGGAAAATTTTATTAGTCTTTTTAGGAGTGTTTGCACTGGAAATTTTTTGTCAGGTACCTCAACTGGCATGTTCCTTGATGTCCATTTGCGAGGTCTTTGGCTCTTGTGTGCCCAATTGCTCTTGGGCTCTCCCCACTGGAGAAGAAATCTCTGCATATGCCGTGTTCTCAAATGCATTCACTCTTCTTCTAAAGCTATGGAGGTTTAATCGTCCTCCTCTTGAACATGGAGTCGGAGATGTACCCACAGTTCGGTCCCAACTAACTCCTGAATACCTCCTTTTGGTGAGAAATTCCCATCTAGTCTCTACCGGAAATGTGCACAAGGATCGGATCAAAAGCAGACTGTCAGAAGTTGCATCTTCATCATCTCTAGAACCCGTGTTTATGGATGCTTTCCCAAAACTGAAAATCTGGTACCGGCAGCATCAGGCCTGTATAGCTTCAACCCTTTCTGGTCTTGTCGGCACACCCGTTTGTGAAATTGTTGATGGGCTTCTGACTATGATCTTCCGCAAACTTAAAGAAGGAAGCCAATCTTTAATTACGGTTAATTCTTCGAGTAGTAGTTCATCAGGACCTCGAAATGAGGATGCCTCCTTAAGACCAAAACTGGCTGCATGGGACATCCTTGAAGCCGTGCCTTTTGTGGTGGATGCAGCTTTAACAGCTTGCGCTCATGGACGTCTTTCGCCCAGGGAATTGGCTACAGGTCTGGTTGGTGACTTCGTCCGAGAAAAAGAGAGACAAAATAGTCTTGAAGTTTCAGTTATTTGTATGCCTTCCAGAGTGAAAAAAAAAAATTGTCTTTTGATGTGCAGGGCTTAAAGATTTGGCTGATTTTCTTCCTGCATCTTTGGCTACCATTGTGAGCTACTTCTCAGCAGAAGTTACTCGGAGTATTTGGAAACCGGTATTTATGAACGGAACGGATTGGCCAAGCCCCGCTGCAAATCTAGCTAACGTGGAGGGACAAATAAGAAGGATTTTGGCTACTACTGGAGTCAACATACCAAGCCTTGCCACAGGTAATTTACCATAGCGAGAAGTCTACTGCCATACTTTTATAATGTGGAATAGTGGCTTATTCATAATTGCTCGGGTACATCTGATAGTAGAAACAACTATTTTAGAAATATTTTGGCATGAGATTTATGGTTTTGACTTTTCACAACAATCGATATTTACTTGTGCGTTGTTCTTACAGGGGGAAGCTCTCCAGCCACTCTTCCTCTGCCCCTGGCTGCATTTGTGAGCCTCACCATAACCTATAAAATCGACAAGGCGTCGGAGCGTTTCCTCAATTTGGCAGGGCCTGCCCTGGAGTCCCTAGCAGCGGGTTGCCCATGGCCTTGCATGCCTATTGTGGCATCTCTCTGGACTCAGAAGGCGAAACGCTGGAGCGACTTCTTCATCTTTTCTGCATCTCGCACGGTCTTCCTCCAGAACGCTGACGCCATGGTTCAGCTTCTGAAAAGCTGCTTCACCGCGACACTTGGGCTTCATACCACTTCGATGACGAGCAATGGGAGCGTTGGAGGTCTTCTTGGTCATGGATTCGGGTCCCACTTCTATGGTGGTATATCTCCGGTTGCTCCAGGAATTCTCTACTTACGCGTCTACCGCTCCATCAGGGACATAATGTTCGTCACGGAGGAGATCGTCTCTATTTTGATGCAGTCGGTAAGAGAAATAGCATGTAGTGGCCTTTCCAGGGAGAGATTGGAGAAGCTGAAGGCTAACACTAAGAACAGGAAAAGATATGGTCAAGTTTCACTCACCGCGGCGATGACTCAGATGAAGCTGGCGTCTTCTCTTGCGGCTTCTCTTGTATGGTCATCTGGTAAGCACTGCCTGGTTCAGTCGCTCATCAAAGAAAAATTACCTTCATGGTTTATATCTGTCCACCGGTCCGAGAAGGAGGAAGGATCGGACGGGGTGGTGGCCATGCTAGGGGGATATGCGCTAGCATATTTCACTGTTCTCTGTGGAACCTTCGCCTGGGGGGTCGACTCGGCATCTTCAGCTTCGAAGCGGAGACCGAAGATCCTCGGGACTCACATAAAGTTCCTAGCGGGTGCTCTGGACGGGAAGATCTCGCTCGGTTGCGATTGGGCCACTTGGCGGGCGTATGTGTCAGGATTCGTGAGCTTGATGGTGGCCTGTACTCCCAATTGGGTGTTGGAGGTGGATGTTGATGTGCTCAAGAGATTGAGCAGGGGGTTAAGGCAGTGGAATGAAGATGAGCTTGCTCTTGCTTTGCTCGGGGTGGGCGGAATCGGGACAATGGGCGCGGCTGCTGAGTTGATTATCAGAAATGAGCTATAGTTTTCTCCAGTACCCTTTTCACACTCTTCAGTTTTTCCTCTTTTCATTCTGAAGAGCCTGTAGATGCATTGTGAATATTGCTTGTAGGTCTCAGGAAAAGTTGTACAAGAATAAATTTATTTCATAGTCAAGGCCTTTACAGTTCCACGGAGAGCCAAAATTTCTAAAGACAGGAAGTCATGTGCTTATATAACCAAATTCTGATGACACTGATTCCCTGTTGAAGTTTTGTTACATCTTGCATGCAGAAGCTGATGATCATGGTTTTTGAATAATCTTTTTCATGGAAAGCCTCATAATCATGGAGATCGCACAAATCTCCGTTACCACGGTTTCTTCCCAAGTTCCCTTAGGACTAATTCATAAATTAAATCGAAGCAATCCAAGCAAAGATCGGAGAGCCCTGGACTAAAGAAAATGGATGTGCAGTGCACAGCGCATGTGGGCGGATCATCAGGAAACTATTGGGAATATTTACATTGAACTGATCAAGAGAAATTGAAATAGAACCCCGCATACATCAGCATCGAGCAGATTTATGTCATATCCTCTCCTCCTCATAAGTACAACAATCAGCCACATATCTACTATACCTTTGTTTGTTCTGTTTCCGCCACATGATAACTCGGTGCGAACCAAATCTTGCGGGAAAGACTGTAAAACTGGAAAAAGATACAGATACAAATAAAAGAGAGAACAAAAGCAGGCAGATCTAGGCTTCCATCAAGTCGCTAAATACTGTCCTAATCCACCCCAAGGTCCTCGATCCTTCTCGCTTAGCCAATTCCAGTTACACAAGTAAACTTCAATAACAGGAAACTCAAAAGAACTCGCGATCAGGAAGAATCAACGGGGCCACGAGGGTCCAGATGTAGAGACCAGATGTGACCCACTCCGTACAAATGCGGACCCAAACAGATGTCCAACCCACATCGACCAGATCCGAGCTATCAGAAGAGCTGGTCCAGTCTGAAAGAAGCATAGCTGAGTACATACTAGCCAGAGCAAAAATCAGGTGGAAGAATGAATAGGAATAAGTAACTGGCTGTGGTTCTGCTTCCTTCTTATCCTTCTTATCTTTGCCTTCTTCGACATCATCTCCTTCAAGAAGAGGCTTTTTTGTGCCTGCAACACAAGTTTCATGACGTACTGAGCAAAGAAGAGTTATAATTTTAGCTACCCTTGTGAGTTCGATCAAGTCTCGGGCCTAATTTCCTAATTTGTAATCAATCTGTGGATGCACTCAAAGGACGACTATCTTGATTGTGAAACAAATTCCCCAAAATAAACATTTCAGTCAGAACCATTTGCTTCAACGATTCTCAAGTAGAATCTTCTCAAGCTCTGGACAATTTCCTCAAATTCTACTTCTGGAAACCAAAAACTTGTGCAGTTTATGAATTACCTGACTTGGGGGAAGACGGAGGGGACAAGAATGTCGTTGATGATCCAGCGCGGCAAGCGGAATATAACACAGAAAGAACTGTTGTAAGCATTCCAAGAATGAGGGTGCTGGTGGAGACTGCTTTGGACTTATGTAGACCATTGCAAACATAATTTCGCGGCTCACAAGAGAGAGCAGTGTAGCACACATAAGCGCAATAAACTGATACCACCGAAGCAGGCAAGAGGCTGCCATTTACCTGTTCAGAATCCCACAAAAATCAGTCTCAGCAACTTCAACACGTTATCTGGCACATCGGTAAAAGGAGATTCTTTGCTCTTTGCCGATAAAAACCTCCCACAGTTATTGAAACATCAATATTTGTAATACTGGGATGAGATACTTCTAGAAGGAAGAACATTAAGCAGCAATTGGTATTTTCCATAGTTCCTTAAAAAGTGCACTACTAGAATGGAGCCAAAGTCACAAGAGGAGAGTTTCCTCAGCAGATAGAGATTCCTTGGAGAGCTGACTACACAGGAGAAAGCTCTAGTAAGAAAAGAAACAGTAGGATATTTTTTTTAGAAAATGAATTCCATGGACTAGTAGAGAATGCCATTTCATAAGCATTGTAATTCGTGCAAGTGCATGAAGTTTGCGAGAAAACAATTATTCAAAAGGTCTACAAATCTAATACGCAAGTATTCAAGAGCATGCTTTTCTTACCGCAGGGTGAAGTGCAACAATTCCATTTACAAAGCCTAGGATCATTGTCATAACAAGGAAGAAGACATTGAGGCCACAGTCCTCACCAGAAGGATTAAACCATATGAACAAAATCCCAGAGAGAGTGTAGGCTGCAATATAGCACCCAACTGATATCACCAGCAAAGCAACATACCTAAACAAGTCCAATGAGCCATCAGAACTCAATGATCACAGAAGTCTAACATACAGAGGAAGGAAGAAAGATAGAATAGAATATTCAAAGACTCCAACTGACCATTTCTGTTCATCT